TACAAACTAATATTATGTACAAACTCTTTGGGTGTGTTTGAGAACAGAGTTAGCTATTAGCGATAGTCTTTTGAAAAGGCTATCTACGGACAACGTTTATCGTTAGCGTTTTCAATGTAATCTGTAACGTTAAAATTTTATCCAAAACGCTTACGCTAGCTAATCTCTAATATTATTCCCAAATAGGCCCTTTGACAATTGAGCAATTTATGCCCATCATTGTAACCATTTCTTTTTTTTCCAACAAAGCTTTCTTATATTTTTGAAAATGCAATGGCGAAAAATGAAAAAAAAGAGTATTTATTTATTATTTCAAATAATGATCTTCCTATTGTTATGAGTGGGAAGACTTTAATTTCAAACAACGGGAAATGCAGGCAGTTGTGTGGAAGACTTAGAGGATGGAGGGAAAGAAAACAATAAAGCACCTTATAAAAAAGTACTCCTGATTTTCGGACTACCTAATATACTCCTTTCCTTCTATTAAAACTTTTCAAGTTTGAATATGAGTAATTTTTTGAGTTATTTTACAATTTTGTCTACTCCGTAGTCGGGTACGATAAGATGTGATTAGTAAGTTTAGTACTGAATATATATGATGTGAAAAGTAGGTTATATAGATATATGTTTCTTTAAACGAATAAAGTGAACTTTTTTGGGAGAGAAGGAGTACCTCCACTTTGAGTATGTGTAATTTTTTTGAGTTATTTTGTAATTTTGCCTTTATTTGTAGTCTGGTTTGATAGGATGTGATTAGTAGATTAATAGTGAATAAATATTGATGAGATTAACCCGATAAGATGGCGGACCAAGAACGGAATAAGAATAAGGAAAATATAATCTCGCAATAATATGCTTAATTGGGTGAGTAATCAATTCTCCCTCCTTTTATAGTACATCTAGTTTCTAAGTCAAGGTTACACATAATGGGAAGGTTTATGGAGATCATGGGGTCGTGATTCTCTTCTATTCTGGTCTTGATTTCTTTCCATTTCCCCACCCCACGATTTTGAGCATGGGCCACGTGTCTTGTTCCTTTCTCGGACTGGATCGTCTCAGTTCAGCCCATGATTGGGCCGTCCGCCTCATTACCCATATGCGCCTCGATGGGCCTGATCCGTTACGCGCACTTGAACTCGTTTACTTGCACGAATGAAAGTGAATTTTTACTATACATGAGTATCATGGCATATGAGTACATGATGAAGACTTGCACAACCACAAGATTCAATTCACCCCTTTAACTTGTCTCACTTATAAATATTCACCCATCATTAACTCTGGGTCATAAATAATAATCTTAGTTAATTATTCAATTCTTTGTTCTATTATATTGATTTACAGTTATTATTAGTCCAATTTACACAATTACAGGTACATTCATACATACATACATACATACATACATACATACATACATACATACATACATACATACATACATACATACATACATACATATATATATATATATATATATATATATATATATATATATATATATATATATATATATATATAGTTCCTCCGATCTGATGAATTGTTAAATAATGTTTACAGTTGTTTTGTTGCTTTTCACGGGTGCCGAATTTATGGATATTTGGGCAGCATACGTTATAGGTCTACCAGCTCATGATCCCAAACACCCAAATTCAACACTTAGACCTTCACACTTCAACTTGGCTATAGCAATATCTTGTTTTGCCTTTGCTCACATTTTCTCCTTTGGAATTGGACTTTTCATTCTTGTGAGCACCCGGTCGAGAGATCACGCGTTACACGCATGTATCCGGACGCCCGCAACAATTTATCTATTTTGGTACGTAATATGTATGTAGCTAGGGCAAGTAATACAATTTGATAATAATTTGTCTTTCTGAATTAAAGTTCCATTGGGAAATGCATAATGTGTATATATGCAGCATGGGAATTGTGGCAAGTATAAGGATTGGAGTTGGAATGGGGTTGATATATAAGCAGCAGGAAGAAGCCAGATTGTTCATCATTGGAGCCCTTGCTGTTTGCGGCATTCACATGGTGGGTGTTTTCATTCACTTCATTGTATTCTTTTGTTTGAATCTTAAGCATGCACCCCCCTCCAACGGAATCATCGAGCGTCTAGTCGAGATGTCGGAGATAGTCCCGATACGTTTTCTAAGGCGGAACATATGACGTGACTTCCTATTCGGGAGTGTCGCCGGCCTTAATAATAATGCCGCTGGACAACAAGACCATTGGTTAAGTTGCATCTAGCTAAATGTTAGTATTACAGAAATGAAGTAAAGTGTCATCAAACACGACGACATTGCCCCCATTCACATTCTTCGTCGCATTGTCATCATTCTCATTATCAAATATTCTCTTCGTCCCAAAATCTCTTTCTTGTTTTAACTTGTATGGAATTTATGGAAAAAAATATTCTTGTATTGATTTTCTAAAAATATGTTTAATTTGATGTGATGTGTAAAAGTAGGATATAATAGAAAGATCATGAATGAATGGATGCGAAGTGATAGATAAGGTAAAAAATAGAGCCCATGCCCAAGCAAATGAGAGGGCATGCATGGATATGCATGCCCCTCCACTAAATTTCTACCATGTGGATAAAAGACTCCATGTCATTTCAAATTTTGGAAATTATAAAAGGCTCATTCCTTTCTCTTAGCCATATACCCCTGGGTATAGTTCTCTTCATTTCTTACTTTTCTTATCACTCCATTTTATTCTTTCAAAAGAATGAAGAAGTCAACAATCCATTTATTATCGAGTAACTTTTTCTTATTTGTTTATTATGTTCTGTTCAGTTTAATTTCTTATTTAATATTTTTTCCATCCTAAATTTAATTTCAAATTAGAAATTATAAGGTAAAACTTCACAATTTTTTAAATAACTTTATTTACAAATTTATGCATAATAAATATTAGAATTATATATTAAAAAGTTTTACAAAATATGAGGTGACAAGAATACTATATTTTATCAAATAATCAGTTAAAATACATGAATAAGGAAAAGCTATCAAGAGATAAGAAAAAGGAAATTGCAATCAAACTTCGGATTGAAAGAATATTTATTCTCATCAGAAATGAACTTACAAGAGATCAAATTCAATTGAATCACATCTTTTCAGATCAGATTAATTTAGAAAAATGTTAAAAACAATTTAATTATTCTATATGTGATTAAATAATGATTACCAAACGATTAAATGTGATCAACGAGCATTACCTCTGACTACTTTCCATTCACTTTTCCGTCAAAGAAAAGAACATTGATGCCTATATTCTAAATTAGAGGAAGTATGAGAGCCCACTATCTTATTTTCCATTTTCATTTCTTTTTAAAAATTATTCTTTATAATTTTAAAATTTTTAAAATTATTTGTGTTTTATATAAAAATAAATGATACAAAATAAATTATCTGATACTTTATTTATCTCAAATTAAAAAAATTAACTTTAAAGTATAAAACTTTGACCTCAAAGTCAACTAAAATTGCAGTATGCAATAGACGTAGGTGGGGAGATGTGTTGAAGTCGGGACTAGGCAGGAGGGGTTTACCGAGGGGGTTAGGAGGGGTAGAAATCATCAATTTTACGAACACGGCATCGTAAGTGTCTGAATCGGGACAGTAGCTTAGCTTCCGTGGAAACTGAAACCCAGTGACCACGGAACCGGGCCGAAATATTAATAGTGTTACTACTGTTTCCTAACATCCCCATCAAGCTAAACTGCGTGTAACGAATGGAAGCTTGGATATGAAACTTTGGATATGTGGTGAACGAAGCAGCTTAATCAACAAATCTACAAGCTGATCCTAAGGGAAAATATGAAAAGACACTCATAGTGCCAGCAATAACCTAATCTTGGACAAAAACTTAAAAAATACTTCATTTGTCTCAAATTAAAATTTTTTGGTTTTATCTAAAAACAAATTCTTTTTTAAATATGTTGGGACCAAAAGAATACAGAGTAAAATATTTTTAATATTTAGTTAATGATATATTTATAACAGTTTTTTGGACAAATGCGCAACAAATTTTCTTTATGACTTAATTTTCCCTATTCTATAAAATTATTTTTATTGCTTTTCCTTTTCTTCATTTTATTTTACATCTTTTTTTTTATTTTACTTTAATTTTGATAAAAATAAAAGAAACTTCATAAAATTATTTTTTTAATCAACAAGAGAAAATAATAATAAAAGAAACCAAAAAATGTGAAATGAGCTTCAATGCAAAAAAAAAAAGTAAAAGTGTTTAATTTCATTGAATTTTGTATCATGAAAATACACTAATAAGAACCTCTTTTGGACAAAATGAAATTATTTAATTTGAAACAAATGAAGTGTACCTTAATTTTTTGAATTATTTTTTCATTTCAAACACAAAATTTTGATTATTAATGCAATATGGAGTATAAAAAATATTTTAAAGACTCACTGGGTCAAGTTTAGTAGTGTACAGTGTTTTACTAGCTAGCAAAGCGAAAGTGGCATAGTTTTATGACTTTATCGACTGAGAGGAAAATGATTGTTTTGCCCACACCAACTTTTCCTCCTTTGTCAAGTCCAAATTGAAGAAAAAAAAACTAGTTCTTTTTTTGTTTGTCTAAAATCTAAATTGTCGAGAACAAATTTCTCATTTTAGGCTTTCTTTTTTAGTCATACTTTCGTACAATATAAAATATTCTTCTCGTTTCAGTTTACGAGGTTTAATTGAAGTTATTTTCAGTTTGATTTAGGAGGTGTATTCAATTTATATTTTAAAAGATTATGATTGATTATATTGTTTAGAATCTATGGATTATATGAAATCTTTGGACTATTTTAATTCAACACAGAGTTTGATAGATTCCAATGCATTTTATTTACAGCATCTTAAAATATTTTTTCAGATTGTTTGAAAATTAAAATCCACAGGCTAGGTTAGCCAATTCATTTTTAAATTCTACAAAAACTCGTTGTTTCATAAATTGTTCTAACACGTAATTTATTTTACAAAAACAGATTGTTTTATAAAAGCATATAAAGCATTATAGAATAAAATTTAAAAAAAAAAAATACCTTGAAAATGGAAGAAAACAAAAAAGAAAACAATACTGTGAAAAAACTTTCGAGAATCAAAATTTGAAGAAGTGAAAAAAAAAATCTCCATGCAATAATTATGATTTGAATTACACAAAAAATACGCCATGCAATGAATTATTGCAAAAAAAAAGAAGCCCGAATTCAAGGATTGAAGGACACTACAATTCCTTGGCGGAGACTGTGAAAAAGGAGACGAAACAAAAGGGAAGCAGATCAGAGAAGGAACAGAATTCAACAAAATCTTTAGGATTTTTTTAGAGATTTGTAATTAGGATTTCTATTTATAAAGTCCAAAAATCCTTCAAAATCCATGTTTTATGAAAATTTTTGAAAATCTACTATATTTTTTATACCATTGGATTCAAAAGGATATTTGAAAATCTTAATTGAATACATTCATATTTTAACAGACTTTTTAAAAATCTCAATTAAATACTCTCAGATTTTAAATGATTTTTTTAAAATTTCAGTTAAAATACCCATTGACTTTTAAAATCTAAAAAAAATCTACTCTCTATATAGTTTCAATTGAATACACCCCCTAAAATTCATAGACTCTTGAATGTCTCAAAATTTTTAAAGACTTTTGAAAATTCAAGTTATACTTCAATGTTTTTAAAGACTTTGGAAACTCACTATTGAATACCTCAAGATTTTTAAAGATTTTTGAAAATCAAGATTGAATACACTCAGAGTTTAAAAATCCAAAAAAATCTATAGACTCCGGGTTCAATACACCCCCCTTAGATGGAAGAGTATTTCAATTTTATACTTCATTCTCAAAAATACTTTTTCTTTCATTTTTTCTACTTCGAACAAAATACTTCCACTTTTTATTAAAAATTATTTTTACCCTTACTTTTTCATACCCTACCTATTACATCATACTTTTTTTTTCTAATAATCTATCCATTACATCTATCTTTTTTTCTAATAATCTTTTTTTTTACACTTGGTCAAACTGGGATCTCTTTTCGAGAATGTAGGGAGTATCCTAGAGTAAAAAAATTGAGTATCTTTTCCCGTATATGTGAAACATGCTTTATTTATTTCTAAATTAGATATGCCTCCCTTTTTCTTTTTCCGAATAAAATTTCTCACTCTATACAATGTTTACTTTTTTCAAAACATTTTTCTTTTTTTAGCCGAAAGCAATTCATTTCAACATCCAATCCCGGGAAAGTTACGTTTTACAAGAGCAAACTTCGCAAAATCATCAAACAATAAAAAAGGCATAATTCCTTTTGTCTCAAATCACTTCCCTCCATAACAGAAATATTTGAACTCAATAGCACTAAAACTTAAGTCATTTCATTAAATAGCATTTAAACTATTTTATTCCTTAAAAAGCACTTGATAATGTTCAGAAAGAGAAATAATTAATATCTAGTGATGGCAAACATTTACTTAAATAATGTTTAATGAATAATGACAAAAAATACTACACTCGAAAAAAAATACTCCCTACGTCCCAAAAAGTCTTTCCTGTTTACTATTACGGCCTCTCGATAACTCTTATTTGTTTACGTGTTTTCATTGATCATTTGATAAAATAAAATATTCTTGTCACCTCTTATTTTGTAGAGTTTTCGATGTAGTTTTTAAATATAATTTTTTTATGTGTTATTTCCTTACCAATTTGCAAATAAAATCATTTTAAAATCTACAGGGTTTTGCACGTTAATCAAAGTAGAAAATTCTTTTTGGGACGGAGGGAGTAGAAATCACCCTAAATAGGACTAAAACATAGAGAAAAGTATTAAAACAGGACTTTCATGTTTTTTTCTCCGAAATAAGACTTCGCATTGTGGTAATGTGGCATTGTAAATTTGCACATTACATATACTTTTTGGTAATGTACATGACCATGTTTGATAATGTAAATGCATTTTAAGTCCTATTTCAAGAATAAAAACATGAAAGTCTTATTTTGGTATATTTTCAATAATGTTGTAGACTTGTAGACCTACTTTAGTCTTTCTCCCGAAAAAAACACATATGATGTTATTTAGACAAATTTCTAAAGTTATTAAGTTTTAGTGTTATTTAAATAAATTTCCATATATATATATATATATATATATATATATATATATATATATATACATACTAGGTAAGTATTATTGTTAATTAGATATTCCTTAATAATTAATTAGCTAAATTAACTGGTGGATGTGGATCGGAGTGGCCGGATAAAATGTGTTGGGCGGTTTTGGGGTATGGTGCGGCTGCGTGCGCCATGTTGTTGGATGGTTGTGCAGCAATCTTAGTGTCACTATTTCTACCACCAAATCCACTTTTTTCAATAAGCACTACTTCTTAATTAGCTCTAGCTATTATATACATATGTCTTGTACGTGGGTGCTCAAGCCATTGCTCAAACAATATAGGTTATTATATATTGTTAGTGCTACCCTAGACATTGTCTGCCCAAAAATAATATAATTGCTACTATACACCACCACCACTTCCCGCTGTCGCGAGATTATCTGAGCACCGACGTGGGTCGTCGTTGGCCGCCAACGTTACCCACGGTGGTGCACCACCGCACTGCCACCACACTCACTTGTCATGCTATCACATTGCCACCACACTATCATCGATCCCACATTTATTTAGTGAATTAAAGCTGTCACTTTAATTTTGATATTTTCATATACACATAGTATCGATCATTTTACTCCCATCTCGAGACATTTGTTCTAAGAAATATAGAATTATGTCATAGTACTAGGGGTGTAAACGAACCGAATCGAAGCGAATACCGATATATTTGAATTTGTATTTGTTTAATTTTTTCGAATACGAATCCGAATCTGAATATGAGATGAATTCAAAATAAGATTTGAATAAGTATTTGATTAATATTCGAATAGTTATCGAATCATAAACGAATATTTAAATAATCATACTATGTAATTTATATGATGGACTAACATCAATTTGTAATTTAACTTACGATACTATTTATACTATACTATATTCTGTATATAAAAACATTAATACATTTGCATCTTACACAAATTATATTTTATAAAATATAACTATTAAAAATCATATGCTTTAGATTTTTGTGTTACGTTAATTTATTAAATTCTTAGTATTTTAAATACATTTTATACTATATTACTTTGCTTGACTTTTGATGTTGAAAACATGGTCTGTGTATATACACATATATTCGAATATTCGAATATAATCCGAATCGAATATATCCCTATTTGTATTTGTATTTGATTATTATTCGAATCAAAAATAATATTTGAATTTGAATTTGTATTTGAATAACGCGAATTTGAATCATCATATTCGAATACGAATCGCGAATCGAATTTAAAATATTTGATTTGTTTACATCCCTATGTTATACTCCCTTCGTCCCAAAAAGTGTTTCAAGTTTCAAAAAAATCGTGTCCTCAAAACTCCTTTCCATTTCTATTAAAAACCCACTTTACCACTTACTTTTTCATACACTTCCTATCACATCATACTTTTTTCCTAATAATCTATGCATCACATCCTACTTTTACTCATCACATCAAGAGTATTTTTAGAAAATCAACACAAAATTACCCTCTTATTTTACAATTTTAGTCAATATATCCCTATCTTTATGGGACGGAGGGAGTATTGTTTAGACGGAGGAGGTAATATTGTAAGAAAATGTCCATATATATCAGAGCACAATGAGGTTAAAATCCAAAAATAGGATCGGAGTGACATTATTTGCATCTCATGATTGTCCCGATCGAAGCAATATAATTGTCCCAAATTACCTTTACAGAATTTATATACTCCCTTCCCTCCCATAAAACATTTCCTGTTTTAAAAAAGGCACGCCCTTAAAATGAGTAATTTTGGTGTTATTTTCTAATTTTGCCCTTACTTTATAAGAGTATGATGAGATGTGTGGAATAGATTAGTCATAATTAAAAAATAACGCTAAAATTACTCATTTTAAAGGCGTGCCATTTTTTACACAGGAAATGTTTTATGGGACGAAGGGAGTATAAAAAAGAGGAATTTACTTAAATAACACTAAAATATCAGGAGTATTTTTTTTCCAATGTAACACTTTTAGTCATTATCCATTGGTCATTATTCAAGTAAATGTTCGTCATCACTGGGCATTATTATTATTCCTTTTGGACATTATTAAGTGTTATTTAGAGAATGAAACAGTTTAAGTACTATTTAGAGAAATGACTTAAGTTTTAGTGTTATTTAGTGCAAATTGTAGAAAGATTAATTTTCTTGATTGAATATGTGGGAGTACATGTGTTTATATATACATGGTATTCCTATTCCTATACAAGGTAGGAGATAATAATAGGAAACAATATATTTACATTAAATATAGAATATATTTAACATGCTCCCGGCTACGTCGGGTGTGGAGGCGGTTGGACACCCAGACTGGACTTGAACTCAAGGAAGAGCAGGGAAGACAGTCCCTTGGTGAATATGTTGGCATACTGAGAGGAGGAAGGCACGTGAAGAACTCTTATGTGGCCGAGTGCGACCTTATCACGCACAAAGTGGATGTCGACCTCAACGTGCTTGGTGCGCTGGTGCTGAACCGGATTTGAGGAGAGGTATACAGCACTGACATTATCACAGAAGAAAAGTGTGGCACGCCGGAGGGGTTGCTGGAGCTCTAGGAGGAGATTCCGAATCCAGGATGTCTCAGCAACTGCATTAGTTACAGCCCGATATTCGGCCTCCGCACTGGACCGCGACGTGGTAGCCTGGCGTTTGGATGACCATGAGATTAGGTTGTCGCCCAGAAAGATACAATACCCGGAAGTAGAACGTCTGGTGTCAGGACATCCAGCCCAATCAGCATCAGAGTAAGCCTGAAGATAGTCTGTCATGGAGCGGGTCAAGTAGATGCCATGGGTGTCGGTGCCGCTGAGATAACGGAGAACGCGCTTCATGGCCGTGAGGTGTGAGTCGCGAGGCGCATGCAGGTGGAGGCAAAGCTGCTGGACGACATAAGTAATATCAGGTCGGGTGAATGTGAGATACTGCAGAGCACCAACTATGGACCTGTAGAGGGAGGGATCTGGAAGTGTCGTGCCGGAGGAGGAGGAGAGCTTTGCCTTTGTGTCGACGGGAGTAGAGATGGGGCGACAGGAGACCATCCCTGCCCGCTCAAGGATGTCGTGGGTGAACTGTGTCTGATGAAGGAAGAGACCCTGAGCTGTGCGGTGGACATTGATGCCGAGGAAAAAGTGCAGGTCACCCATGTCTGTCATAGCGAACTCAGCCTTGAGTTTCTGAATGAGACTCTGTAGTAGTGCTGGCGAGGAGGCAGTGAGTACGATGTCATCAACATGTAACAGGAGGTAGGCGGTCCCCGATGCATGCATGAAGATGAAAAGAGAGGTGTCAGACTTGCATCCGCGAAATCCAATAGTCTGAATAAAACCTGCAAATCTGTGATACCATGATCGGGGTGCCTGTTTCAGGCCATAAAGGCTTTCTTGAGGCGATAGACATGATGAGGTCGTTCAGGATCTTGAAATCCTGAAGGCTGGCTGGCATACACAGTTTCCTGAAGCTGTCCATGGAGGAAAGCATTTTTGACATCTAGCTGATGGATGGGCCACCCACGAGACAATGCGAGGCTAAGGACGATGCGGACCGTGGCAGGCTTGATCACGGGGCTGAAGGTTTCGCTGTAGTCGACGCCAAAACGCTGATTGAATCCGCGGACCACCCATCGGGCCTTATACCTGGATAACTCACCGGACGGGCCAAATTTGTGTCTAAAGAGCCATTTACCGGTGATTATGTTTTAGGTGGGGGAGGGGGGTANCAGGTATTGTTACCGTCATAGGATTGCCGCAGTCGTGAGCCGTTTTGACGTCCGCGACCTCGCCCCCGATTTCCACCGCCACGGCCTTGGCCTCGTCCGTAGCCTCCACGTTGACCGGGATTGCCGTCACCATAGCCCGTGCCGCCATGCTGTCCGCCATAGCCGCCGGGAGTACCGCCGTGGTAGCCGCCACCGGCACGGTTCGTGAGAAGAGCCGTGGTGCCCGAGTCGGTGGGACTCGTCCATTGTCGATCCAGAAGCATGAGTGCAGAACGGACTTGCAGAAAAGTGGGCATGGGATCCTGAAATTGCATGAAAGATGTTTGTGCCTGAAGATCTGCAGGGAGACCACGAAGCATTTGGAGAACAAGTTGGTGCTGGGAGACTGGTGCATCGACATCGTCCAGCGAGTCGGCCAGATTCTGCAATTGTTGGCAATAAGCCGCCATGGTGGAGTTGCCTTTGATGGTCGTGCGAAATTCATGCTCCAATTGCATGGCCCTGGCATGTTTGTTGTCGTGAAATAAGTCGTGAACGACTTTCCAGAGAGCAGAGGCAGTAGAAACAGAGGAGATTACCAGATCTGAGACCTCATCGGTGATGGTAGAGAGAATCCAACCCTGGAGGAGAGCGTCGAGTTGGAACCATTCATCGTCGTCATCGGAGAGGGGGACGACGGAGCCAGCAAGGTAACCCTGGAGGTTGAAGCGCTGAACAAGAAGGAGAAAAAGTCGGCTCCACTTTTTGTAGTTGGGTTGAGAGAGACTGAGTTGAATAGGAACATGGAGTTTCACATTAGATACTGTTGTAAAAGCAAGATGAGGAGGCTTGGGGGAGGTATTTTGAGAGGTGACTTCACTGGCTTCGGCCATGATTGTGAGAGAGGGGAGAGATGACTGCCGGCGAGAGGAAGAGACGGCGGCAGGAGGGGCTGCCGCTGGTGGGGCGGCGGCTCGGGCCGAGAGAGGGAGAGAGGAGGGGAGAGAATTAGGGTTTTGGTATTTTAGGCTCCGATACCATGTAGAAAGATTAATTTCCTTGATTGAATATGTGGGAGGACATGTGTTTATATATACATGGTATTCCTATTCCTATACAAGGTAGGAGATAATAATAGGAAACAATATATTTACATTAAATATAGAATATATTTAACACAAATATTTCATAAAAAATGTTAAAATTTAAAAAGTGAGTAATTAAAATTTGCTTAGAGAATAAGAAAGATTATGAATCACATATTTTTAACTAGGTAAGTAAACAATAACCGGAGTATTTTATAGTGAAATTTGCACTAAATAGGACTAAAATATAATGACTTTCCTAATGTAGGACTTAAACTTTTTTATTCCCTAAATAGGACTTAATAATGACTTAATGAGAGGAATAATGTCCAGTAATGATTGACATTTAGTTGAAGAATGACTACTTGATAATGACCAAAGGTCCTACATTGGAAAATAAAAACATATGGTCATATATTGAGAAAGTCATTATGTTTTAGTCCTATTTAGGTAAATTTCTCTATTTTATATGAGTGTTTTAGTTCGATCCTGTTGGGATTTTAAGCACGTAAGACTATTAAAATATCAAGAACGTGAAAAATAAATAACACACTACACAAGAAGAAAATATGAGAGAAAAAATATATCTTCACTCTTTCAGAACGATACACAAAAAACTCTCCCCTGATTACAAGCACTAAATACCAGACACTTATAAACAGACTTTTCACACCCTACACCCGGATGTATTTTTCTGGGTAACTAAATTGATACAATTTGATAATAACTTGTCTTATTGAATATTGAGAGATATGGCCCTATATATAGGGAATACAAGAGTAATCAAAGTACAAGTAGGAAAGGAAAGAATAATCCTAGTAGGAAAGGAAAGAAGTATCCTAATTTAATTATACTTCCTAATATCCCCCCGCAAGCTGATCAACGGAGACGAGGGGCAGCTTGGAACATAAGTACTCAAAAGGAACTGGCGGAAGCGGTTTGGTAAGAATGTCTGCTAGCTGCTCTGAGGAGGAAACATGATGTGGAGTCATAGTGCCTGCCATAACCTCATCTCGTACAAAGTGACAGTCTGTGCCCACATGCTTCATGCGATCATGAAGAACCGGATTTTTGGTGACACAGATAGTCGACTCATTGTCACAGTATAACTTCGGTTTGGACGGAGGAATACCCAGTGCATCAGTGATATATCGAAGCCACATAGCTTCTCCAACCCCTGCAGCCATAGCTCGATATTCAGCTTCAGTGGATGATCTAGAAA